CCTGAACCCCGGCACCCCCCCCCAGCCGGCCACACTCACTTCTCCAGACTCGGGGAGCGGGTCAGCAGGTTGGTGGAAGACGCGGCCTTCTTGCCCAGCTTCTGCTTGGGCCTGTCCTGACCCTCCCTGAGCAGCTTGTCGGATGAGCTGTTCCTGCGAACCCTGGAACAGAGAGACAGGCCTTCAGGCACGCGGCCGAACCTTCCAGAAGGGTCTAGAGACGCACGGCCTCTGAACACCATGCTGCTCCCTGCTCCGAAAGCCACTCTGATACCAGCTCCAAAGATAAGGGCATTCCTACCCTCAGCCATTAGTCACCCGATGGTGGGGGGTGGGGTACAGATACTACGGAATCCCGTGCAATACTTTCCCTGATGTTCTTTGCAGTTACTGTTTACTGTTGTCTATAATTTATTGTTACTATGTATAATGTCTATTTTTTTACTGTATTCAGCTACTATAACCCTGAAAATTCCCAATATAGTATCTGTCTGTCTGTCTGTCTGTCTGTCTGTCTATCTACATTAAACAAGATAAAATGGGACATTATGGACAGAAACTGAGATGTATTACGCTCTGTAAGTATGGAACTATGTGGAATACAGGCTTTTTAAAAAATGGACTGTGTACTTAATAAATAAAAGGCGTATTACCCAGCATAATGTCCTGAAAGTGTGTTCATAGTGTGACGGAGACATGACTGTCATGACTATTGACTTTGGCTGAGTCAAAGAAAACACTGCTTTGATTTTGGCAAGACGCCCGGGCATAATAGGCTCTTGCTGGAAAATATTACCAGAATTTTCCGTCAAGTGTCTTCAAAGAGTTCATTTTCAGTGCATCCTCCTATAACGTGGCTCGCAGAGGTTCCCACAAACACCCCCCACGCACCGCGGCGGAGAGATCCACGCACACGGACTCCGAACAAAGACGAGACACACCCTGGCGAACAAGCGCATGCGGCGCAGAGCGAGCGGGGTCAGCCATGCAGGGAGACATGCAGTGTGACATCAGCTGAGCCAAGTCAAGGATCAAAGGAATTTGGGTTTGATCACTGGACAGACACAGCAGAGAAATCCCAAGGCAAATTAGTGCTGATTCAAAGACACAAACCCAGTGAGAAACAGCTGTGAGTCGGAGACAAATCTGATACGGTCATGAAAATAAGCACACAGTAGCAGTTTTGGTCAGAGAACATCACTGCACTTCACAGAATCCAGCAGTTTGAGTTCAGCCCTAACATATCCTAAAGGACCCTTCAATGGCTAAGCATCAGGACACCGGCTGACATACTGCAGCAGCACATCGGCTGTCCGGGACCGAAGCACCTGCTGATTCTGAGAAGGAGCTGACAGGAATTGACGCGTGTGTAATGAAAGCTACACTAGAATCCGATTACATTAATCTCATTATGTATGATTAGTATTATAAATGTGCTTATTTCCATGCCTTAATCGGTCCATACGGTGATTTTCCGCATCCCATTCTGTGATTCCGGTCAAAAACAAAAAAACAAGGATTAGAGCATGTTAAAGATTTCAGTGTTAATGCTGCATGCTGTGGGAGAGCTTCTCCTCCAGAACCGGAGCCGGGTGCGAGTCCAGGGGCCGCGGAGGCGGAGTCAGGTCAGTTAGGGTTAGGGGGGGGCTTCCCACATCACACAGGCGGGGCCACAGGAAGAGGGCGGGGCCTCAGACAGAGGGCGGGGCCACACATGGGGGCAGCCATACATGTGGACGGGGCCAGATGAGCAGGGCGTGGACACAGGCGAGACGCAGGGTGGATGTTTGTCCCCCTCCTGGACGGGGGACAGGGGCTGGCTCCTGGGAGCTGCATTCTTGGCCGAGCCGGGTGGACAGGAGCCCGCAGCAGCTACCCAGGCAGGTGGCTGAACAGCGTCCATCCTGGCCTTGCCCTGGCCTTCCGGGCTGTCGTTCTTGGATGTGATCGCCTCCTGCTGGCTGGCAGGGTCCTGAACGAGGGAGCCAATGCAGCTAGGCCTTATGGGCTCCTCCACCACGGCACTCCACTCACGGACTCCCTCACATGCTCCTTGGACCTCCTTTGGGGCCTCCTCCCCCAGCAGAGCATCCTCCAGCGACAGGCTCTGCAGCGCCCCCGTCTGGGCCAGGGACGCCTTACTGCTCGGCAGAGTGCAGTCCGTTTGGGTGGCCCTGTCGTGGGTGACCAACCCCAGTCCGAGCCCAGAGGCGTTGAGGTGCACCTTGGGGACCTCGCCGTCCTCGTCCTGACCGGCATGTGACACTTGGCTAGAAGCAGGCACCATGACATCGAGAGCGCCCCCAAGAGGGCAGTTATTGAAAGAGCAAGAAAGAAAACAAAAAGTTATAACAAGGACAGAAAGATGTAGGGTTAGGGTTAAGTCACTCAGCTCTCTGTTCTAAACTCTCATACATGTTTAACGATACTTTGCCATTTTTTATATCATATATATGAATTCTTTAGTTTTCACATATCTCATCATTTTCTCCTAATAACATTTACAGACAGACAGACAGACAGACAGACAGACAGACAGACAGACAGACAGACAGACAGACAGACAGACAGACAGACAGACAGACAGACAGACAGACAGATATAATGCAATATCATTTTTCATTTGTGCAGGTAAACATGAAGTCTTTAGTTGCCTCATGCCTTGTCCTGCTCTCTCAGGAGATAAATACAGAGGTGAGAGTGAAGCCTGGACTCAGAGCACAGGGTCGTTCACCTTTCCTGTGTCCCGGGGTCAGTTTTCAGGGTTAAGGGTCTCGCTCAAGGGTCCAAAGGGGATACGGTCACTCTGTCAGCTATAGGATTTCTACCATCGACCTTCTGGAGGTCCAAAGAATCAGTGTTCGGGAAATCTGAATTTAACGAGCCAGTATCATCTGGGCCAAAAATCCAGTTTAGGCCAGATCTGTGTTACCATCCCCAAAGGTGTGTTTCTGAATGGTCACAGTGGAACATGAAGCGACTGCTGATGTCAGAAGATCATTAATAATCTGGCTCTGTGAAAATGTGCAACCAACCATTTGTGAAGAGTCTAGTGTTTTCACGTTGTCTGCATTTTCTGAAAGGGATGAACACGCCACCCGCAGGTAGGTGCCAGCATGTGAAGGGGGGGCCCACGCCTCATGGCTCCCCACCGCACTGCCCCCCATCACCCCCTGCCCCCACCCCCTACCTGCTGGAAGAGTGCCGGGGGATGTCCGAGGCTGAGTTGCTGGATAGCTTGCGAGTCCTGGAGAAGCCGTCCAAGCAGAAGGAGTGGTTTAGGGTCCGTGCAGCAGCTGGGTTTACTGGGAAGGGGAAGGTAAACACACACACACACACATGTGATCCATATGGCAAATAACCGAAAGCAGAGGCTCCATCACCCTCCTCTGCCAGCCCACTTTCTGTCTACATGCTATTTCGCCTTTTCTTGATTAAAATGCTTTCCATTTTCCATCCTTTTTTAAATAGCCAAATTCATTGCTGCACAAATAACCAAGTAAACAAGTAAAAAAGTTGCTTATATAAATATGAAAGGAGGAATCTATCGTTCACACAGAATTACTGGAAACGCTAAAGGGTTTCTGCCGGCCCTAAGCGGGGACCAGGATTTATTATAACACAGGAGCTTGACACAGGAGTTCTCCTCATTTTCAGCGGACATGCAGCACCGGCAGCTGATGCCCAGAAGGGGGCGCCGCACCTGCAATGATGTGCTGCCGCAGAAGTGGGATCTGCTGCTCGTGCACGTGAAGCCTGCGCAGGGCGTCTGCCAGCGACGACTTCAGCAGCGTGATCTCGTCCTCCTGCGCCTGCAGACGCACCTCCATGAGGGACACGCGGTCAGAGGACTCGACACTGCTGTCAGCCGACACATCGTCTGCGGGAGAGAGCAGGGAAGGTGTTACACCGCATGCAGGAGCAGGGGCCGCGGGGTCATCACCCAGGGGCCCGGGGATCGTCACCAGGGGTCTGCATGGCTATCATCCAGGGGCCGCGGGGTCATCACCCAGGGGCNTCATCACCCAGGGGCCCGGGGATCGTCACCAGGGGTCTGCATGGCTATCACCCAGGGGCCGCGGGGTCATCACCCAGGGGCCCACAGAGTTGTCACCAGGGGTCTGCATGGCTATCATCCAGGGGCCCGGATTTTGACACCAGGGGCCCGCATCCTCGTCACTCAGGGGCCCGGGGATCGTCACCAGGGATCCGCATGCTTCTCATCCAGGGGCCCGGATTTTGTCACCAATGTTCCACATGCTCGTCACCCAGGGGCCCGCATGGCTGTCATAGGTCCTCACCCAGGGGCCAGATGTCACACACAGTGGAGGGAAACAAACCTACTAACCAGCTACTTAATTGCTATATGTACTTAGAAACATATTTTTTCAGGGGGGGAAGAGTCTACATTGGCCTGTGGCAGCGTTCAGTGAGCCACACCATCATCTCGAGAAGCTTCTTATGCTACACTGGTAAGTTTCCCCTGAGGTTACCGTTAGTTCAGCTGAGGTCTATAAATGACAGAAATACAGGAATCCAAATAACAGGAGACATGTTCTACAGATATTATGGCAGCTGTACAGATATCTGAGATGAGCTACACAAAAACCAAAGACTCATAAAAAATATACTATGTCCCTGTCGGCAATCACTAGACAGTGCAGGAGATGTTATAGGAGAAGCGTAAGAGCAGAGTGCCTGAGGTAAGTGCAGGAGGCTGCGTGAGAAATGGTGGCGTGTCCAGCTCACCACGCAGAAATCAGGAAAGCGAAAAGCGAGGAGCGCTGCCCCCTGCAGGGACGCGGAGGTACAGCAATTTATTACGTTACTAGCAGAAAGGGGGGTACATGCTTCTCTGATGCTTTCGCAGCTTTTCCAATCATGGAGGTCACTTCCCATTCTCCACCTCATAAAAGAGGAAGTCACGCCAGATAATGCCATTTTGGGAAGGGGGGGGGCAAAGATGGATTAGCGCAGAGAGACAGAGTCCGGGCTGGCCGAGTGATTTACAGTGAGAAATGAGCTAAGCCAGTTTGTCCTGACTGGAGGAAGCCCAGCCCAGCACTGTAAATCTCATCTGTATGGTGGGCTGCTGGCAATGCCCCCCCGCAGGGGGTGGGGCTATGCAAATCTTGGCCCCAAAAGCAACGCCCTGTTGTGACATCATCTCAGTAGGAGGTTTCCAAGATTTTATTATTTATAGCTCGATAAAAGCTTTTGCCTCTGGCGAGTTCATACATAATTTCACATAATCCATAAATCTTCCATAGTCACCTTTAGTAAAAGGTTGCACTGTTAGCCTGGATGAGATGCCGGGCTGGGAACACGCTCACCACACACAACAGCCGCCTTACAGTATCTAACTGTGGCTTTGGAGACTTGGGAAGGAAATGGGAAGCTTGCTGCTTCCATGGACGGCATGGGCACCACAAACAAAGCCTGTGGGTTACATGAACTAAACAGCAGGCAGTGATGAAGACAGCTAACAAGTCAGCGGGTAGGACCTCAAAATACAGCGTATGCGAGACTGACCAAAACAAGGTGACATACTGGCCATCAAAGAACAGCAAGCCAGCACCAAAGCAACAAGAAAACACAGGAGATGCTAAAAGTAGGTCTGATCACAGCTGAGGGAGCAGCACAAGGGACGTGCACAAGCCCAAAAGGTCCGCACCCCCCACCACGACACCTCAGGGCCTCGTGTGGAGAATTTATGTTATTATACTTTTAGGGGCACTGGAGGAGAACAGAGGCGGAAAGTAAAAGCATGTGAAGGAATAGAGCCCAGGAGGGAGTTTAAAGCAGACACACACACACATACAAACACAGACACACACGGACACACACACAGGCACAGACACACACATACAAACACAGACACACATGGACACACACACATAAAAACACAGACACACACAGACAAACACGGACACACACAGACAAACACAGACACACACGCCCGCACAGACACGCATGCCCCTCTCAGGCCCTTTCTTGCACAGTTTTTCTGTGTTCGCCTGGTTACCTGAGGTAGTTTGAGGTGGGGGGTGAGCAGCCAGGGGAATGGCCATACACACTCGCACAGGGACACGGGCCACGCCCACCTTCCCGGCCTGTGGCTCCCACTTTGGGACCAGTTGTACCAGCTTCCTGTCAGATCTGTGACCAAGAATAACCTCCGAGGGGCGGGGAGGGGTGACAGGAATGGAAACGGCCCCAAAAACTACATTTCTTAAAGGAAGGAGCCAGACTTGCACCGAACGGGTCAAAAAAGTGAGCTCTCTCAGGCGCACATTGCGATCCAAAGCCATTACGCAGCCTGGTATTCAGGTTTACGACTGACCATCACTCTGCTGAGCGAAGAAGCCAAGCGCTCTCCGCACACTTCCACATTTCCAAGCTGACATCCCCCAACAAAACAAAAACACGAGTAAGGCTGCATTTCCGAGCCAGTGAAAGCTTAGACTGTTTTTGTGGGATCCAGGCTACAGGCCAGCCGCACTCGCCTATTTTCAGGGCATTCGTTCAAATAATCCTGAACAGCTCAAGGAAAAGCAGAGCCATGCCGAGGACCGCGGCATTTAAAGCTCAGCGGAACCAAATGGGATCTAAAGTCCTCAATCTGAAGGATAAGGACGGCCCGTTTTGGCCTGTGTGACTCCTGCCGTCTATCGAGAGCTGCAAATAAATCATGACAGAGAGACATTTATGGGCTGAGTGTGTGTTTGTGAGGCTAAAGCATGTTAGCATGGTGTCGTAAGCCGCACAACTTTCCGTTTCACTTCCTATTTTACGTGTCCCGCCAGCAAAGGCATCGCCATGAAATTCCTGTGTAAATTTTTGTTTACAGCTGCGAATCACACAGTAGAAGCGCACGCACACACACACAGACACAGATACGCACACAGACATGCACGCACAGGACAGGCACAGACACGACCTGAGATTTCTCTGCCAACGCCTCTGTTCTAAACCAACAAGACTGCAGCATAGGGCATTGGGAAATGCAACGGGCCTGACACATTCACTGCTTACAGTCTTTCGCATTAAGAAATGCAACGGGCCTGACACATTCACTGCTTACAGTCTTTCGCATTAAGAAATGCGACGGGTCTGATACATTCACTGCTTACAGTCTTTCGCATTAAGAAATGCGACGGGC